TTCCCCTCGTCCCTGCATCCGCCTTGACTTACATGTACTTGAGCTTAAATGTGCTCATCCTTGGCAACTGCAGCTAAAGCCATGGATACATAAAACCTAACCGATACCACGGAAACAGCTGCCATCTTTTATTAAAGGTGTTATTACAAGGTGATAATTACAGACTATATTACTTGGTGTAAAATCGTCGAGGTAGACATTGGAGGGTTATACCTGTACCATTATGTCGGTATAAGCGTGAGTAATATTAAGGTGTAAGAGCGCATTCTCAACGAATTAAGCCAGGCTTTACAAAGCCGGTGACCTAAAAANCCCCCACACCAACTAATAGCCACGACGTCTGGTAATTCTATATTCAGATTAAAGACCGTTCAAAAATATACAGTGTATGTGTTGTCCGACCGTGTTAATCTCATACTGTTATTACCACATTTAACCTTTACTGTTCGTTTGCGTAGAATCACATCAGATTGCCAGTTCCTGTCAATGAGACTGAATTACCAAGAAAAACATAGATACATGTATATACCATACGGCCATTAATAGACTGTGTTATGCTCAACGAGGTATCAAATAATATAGGATAATATACTTCATTGGGCATAAGTCATAACACAAGTTAACCAAAGCTGTTACCTGAAAAATAAAATAGCATTCTCTCAAATGTTGCCGATATTGGAACTGGGAGGTTTTCGGTGGTGCCATTCGCTTATACCGATTTTACGATACCTATATGGTATCGTTTTTCTTTCCCCATATTTTGTTTGATATATACACAGGTTTCTAAATAATACCTCAGGAAACTGCAAAGTCTACTACTAGTAGGTACATGTATCACATGGATTGAATGGCTTTTACAGTTTACGTGACAGTGTTTGAATGATTTGGAAGCAGAATCCACATCACTCTTGGTAATGTTATTTATCATAACATATACCGTACTACTTTTGAGGAACAGTGGTTTTGCTGAGGGGTGCGGGGATAGAGACGGGACCAATTTCAGGATAGTGTGTGCGGCACAAGAATAAAAAATTGCTTGATTTTTGTCTCTTTTTGCTTGTTAGGATTGTTTTACTGTTTTGGGAGATGGAGAATGCACAAGAAGATACTTCAGAAGCTGAAACGAGGGAGCAACCCCCCTCTACCCCCCTTCCCCTCGTCCCTGCATCCGCCTTGACTTACATGTACTTGAGCTTAAATGTGCTCATCCTTGGCAACTGCAGCTAAAGCCATGGATACATAAAACCTAACCGATACCACGGAAACAGCTGCCATCTTTTATTAAAGGTGTTATTACAAGGTGATAATTACATACTATATTACTTGGTGTAAAATCGTCGAGGTAGACATTGGTGGGTTATATATGTACCATTATGTCGGTATCAGCGTGAGTAATATTAAGGTGTAAGATACCAATTCTGAAAATGTCATGTTTTTAGAGGCGTACTTCATGTTTGACGTTCCGCTATTGAAAACACTTAAAGTGGCGAGACCAACATACATGTACTTTGTGCAAATGTTATACCACAGTATGAGTCTTCGTATTCAATTATAGCTCTGGTGATGATAATTTTAGAGAAAATCTCTATCAAACGTTTTTTATTATTAAAATACAAGGCGAGTGTTATTTACATATATATTACTTGATATCAGTTGGCGTGCAAGGTCGATTATGACACGCTGTTATAAATGTTTTTTGGAGGGTTTGCTGTGTATTTTAATAAGGCCATAAATTGGCGTTTTAGGCCCGCCTCTCTCAATCACTCTCTCTCTCTCTCTCTCAATCACTCTCTCTCTCTCCTAGCCACAAAGAAATAACTTATGTAGCTTCTATATCGTCAGACAAAACTTGGAGACGAGAAGCACTTTTTCCTCGCCAGTAGCAAATATTAAAAAAAGATGAAAAAAGCAATCTTAACTTCTTATCAAATGCAGAGCGACAGAATTACAATATAGCGGGCAATACCCGAGTGACCGGATATTGTTCTTCTTCCACAAAAAAACAATAAGCTCCTTACGTCAGGATCACAAAACAACACACATGTATTATACATAAATAGTGTCCATCACCCTACTTCAACTTTACTTTGTATAATACGATTTTTCTTAATCTTCTCATGAAGGGAGGATTTAGATCACGTACGTTGTTTTACTAATCATCTATTTACTGTTTCTATAGTTACTTTTTGTTCTGTTCAATCACTCTCTCTCTCTCTCTCTCTCCTAGCCACAAAGAAAGAGCTTCTATATCGTCAGACAAAAATTGTAGACGAGAAGCACTTTTTTTCTCACCAGTAGTAAATATTTAAAAAAAGATGAAAAAGCAATTTTAACTTCCTATCAAATGCAGAGTGACCGAATTACAAAATAGCGGACAATACCCGAGTGATCGTATATTGTTCTTCCTCCACAAAACAATAAGCTCCTTACGTCAGGATCACAAAACAACACACATGTATTATACATAAATAGTACCCATCACCCTACTTCAACTTCACTTTGTATAATACGATTTTACTAAATCTTCTCACGTAGGGAGGATTTAGATCACGTACGTTGTTATTATGTTTGACTAATCATCTATTTACTGTATCTATAGTTTCTTTTTGTTATGTTCACAAACAGTAGTGTGAGAAGTAGCATAGACAACCAACGAAAGTTGTAACATTAATGGTCCCCCAAAGATATTTTCGACAGAATTCCGTAAGTTTCCTTTCCAGTGCTTGGATACAATGGTCTGTGTTTAGGTTCTCCTTCACCACTGCTAGCTCGCCTACACCACAGTAGCCAATACTCCCCATGCATGAATTTTTGGCAGGGGAGCATATTTATCATTATCAACAAAGGTGGAAAAGATGAAAGATCAACTTAAAAAATGAAAAAAAAAAAGACAAAATAAAAAAGAAATAAATTGGAGATTCAACACGTTCGACATGGTTAATGAAATAGAAGAATGTACTCGGCGTGTAAGTTCGGTGGGTTTTAGAAGTCATATTTTTCTCTCTGCCTACACCAAATATTAATTGAAATCCTACAAAAACCCCCAGGAAACCTGACTCTATCCAGCGGTCAGTGCACCAAATTCCTAAAGGAAATTAAAAAATTGGAACCATGTCGTTTTCTATTTGGGCATCGGATAAGCCATTGAATGGATCTATACGGAAGCGAAAGAGATATCTTATGAGTGTTATAAGTTCAATAGATTTATGCTGAAAGTTCAGAAAGATCAGGTGGACTATTCCGCAGAAATTAACTAAATTGGCAGCAGATAGGATTTGAGGCTTGTAACCTTCCAAGCACAGACCAAAAAGGGGAGCGGCAAAGAGATAATGAAATAATTAAAAGGTACACATAAATACTAGATTAGTGGATTCCATCGGTTAACAACCTGCAGTAGGCCTACCCTGCGTTTCAGTGAAATGGCGGTGACTGTTGGTGGTGCGCTGATAACAAGGGTTATTTTTCAAATTCAGGGTGTCTTCATATTCTATGATAAATCTATCTTGCAAAACGTAAAACCACACGATGAGAGTTTGACCTTTCTTTCCTGGAAAATTCAACACGTTGTCACCTAGGTATGCAATATCGAAAATCATTTACAAAATCATGATCCGTAAACCCATTTTTGATAGAAAATAAAACGAAATGAAGATGAGGTCATTAAGGCAAAAAGACAAAAGAATTCCACTTATCCACTTAAGACGCCTGTAATTGAATCAAGATCAATAAAATAGATTGTAAACAAGGAGAACATCGCACGTTTTTTGTTACATTTGGCAAACTTGAAACTGAGAAAAGTAAATACGCGATGGCACCTACGGGACGTGGTATATCAGTGTTGGCTGCTCAACACAGTCATCAAGTGTTATTTCAACATTTTGAAGCCAGATAGATAGATCTATATAGATTTCAAGGTTTGCATGCAGGCGGCAAGTGTCCTTTAGTCGTTTTCTCTACTTGTCTCGGCACTATTGCCTATATATATTATGAGCATTTATTGTTTGTTTGGTCTGCCTTTAATTGTCGACATCATATCTAGATATCTATCTCATTGTAACGGTTGATCTTAACGTATGAATTCTGATCAGCAACAAGTTGAAAATAATTCCACTGCAGAAATATGATACAACCTACTAAACTTCTTGTCTGCATGTTGTGGTTTATATAGGTATAATAACGTGCTTGTCATTCTAGTAATGTGACACATATGACAGTTTCAGGTCTCAGCTGACGCCGATGCCTTGAATAAGTAATTTTCAACCGTTGTAGTAGTAGTGGTTCCTGTCGCTGCTGCAACATTTACCTGATTGTAGTAGCTGTTGTCCAATTAAGTCATTTTGCGGTGAGTAAAATTAAGGTGGGTCACGAAATGGTGGGTTTCCTGTCAATTGTGATGGAATAGTACTGAATACCTAACAGCATAATCATCGCCAATTTTACTAAGTACTGCAGGTTACATGGAGATCAGAAAATGTAGGCCCTAACTAGCATAAGGCTTCAGTTCTATGGATTTTTACACAAGTCATGCATCGTAAAGCCTGCATAACCTAAAAAACTATTGGAAAGCGAGCCTGCTTTTACACATTGGAACGTTTTTTTATGATTTGTCAATTTCGATGCAATATTGATCTAAGACGAAGTCAATGATTATGCAATGTTTAGCACTATAATCACCTCCACTTCTGATAATTTACCACTGCTAATATGGACATTCAGAAAATGAAACTTATACAGTCCCTCTAGTCCCTGGGAGTTCAGGTCACGCCTGGAAAATGCCAAAGTGTGATAAATAACAAATACACTTTAAACTGCATAACTTCTAGAAAAATGGTCCAATAAAGCTATTATTCGAATTTGACTTGTCTTTAGTACCAAAAATCACTCAAGTGAGTTAAAAATAATAGGAACTAAGTCGAACTGTTTTCCATTTATATGGGGTCCACAGCGAATACTGCGCAGCGGCGACGACGGGGGCGACGACGACACATACATGTACGCAGGCGATGGCTCTAGGCAGGTGATGGCTTTAAGTCCAGGCACGCTGTGTCCAGATTAAGTGGTCAGTGTAACTGTTTTTGTTTGGAAAACGTGCCGCTGCTCGCAGCTTGTAGACCGCGCTGTATGATTTGTCTGTGACCATTTCACGTTGAAAGGGTTGATTTTTCTAACGACTACAACAACTGGATAATGACATTAACGCAGAAAACTATATTCTTCAGTTAAAAGGTTTGTCATTTCAAATCTCGTTTTATGCTCGGTGGTATCAATGTTTGTCACACATGACTCCAAAGTTGTGTAAATTTGTGTTTTGCATAAATAGTGTTTGACGTTTCCCACCGTGCTGTTCTAAGCCAACACGTTGGAAGTCCAAGATGAAGAGTCTGTCATCCATAATTGTGTGTCTTCTATTGGGTTGTGCTCCGTACGTCACAGCTAAGTGTAAGTCCATTTTTCTAGATCTCAAACCCATCTCCTTCTCTCATCTTATTTTCTAGCTCTATTGCTTCTTACATAGACTATTTCGTTTTCGCCTTAAATTTTCAGAGCGCATAAAACAAATGTGTACAGATAAACCATGCGCTTTTCTTCGCACTGGTAAATACAGTACTCAACTTCTAACTAGAATTACAGTACATGTACACTTTATCTCGAACACATCTCGTGGAAGGGGACTTTTCTTTGGTAATTACCCTTAATTTTATAAATATTGTCTAACTCAAAACTTTGCGTGACATCAACTAACTTCACGATCCACATGTGTAGGAATTATGCAGAGTCTGTCCCATTTCATTTATTCTTTTGACTGGTATATTTTCGCTCAATGTCCAGGTCAGCTAGGTCAGGTTGCAAGTGCCTACTGCCAGCACAATGGGACTCCGTGTAACTGGGTCCACGAGGTGAAGTTCCCCATCCGGTTTGACTTCACGCCCACGATCTTCGCATCACTAGCCGGTATAGATGCAAGGTAAGTTATCTCTTGATGGGAATCAACTACTTATACGTAATATATCAGCGTAAACCACTGTTATTAATTTACAGTGTTAAATTAATTTATCGTGTTGATAAAATACTTCCAAGCAAGTTCAAATCCAATAAAACTTTCGCCTTCAACTTCCCCGCCTTTCTCATAACTTTGCCTTCCATACAGCTTATTTCAATTTAACGAAGAACGCATACGGGATGAATTTAGAATATTGGTTCTTTCTTAATTAGGCCTACACTTTCTCCCTTTTTTCTTCAGATCCGACAGAAACCTCCGACTTCAAGCTCTCGTTTCCAAGGTCACCCAGGCGGGGTTCACGCTGACGTTCAGCAGCTGGGCGGATACCCATGTGTACCATGCCATGGCAACCTGGATAGCATGTGACGAGCAACAGATTACGGACAAGGAATCACTAGTTGGGTAAAGCAGACGACACCCAAACAGCAACCGAAATTTACATCTGTTTGACTGAATTGTCTCATATAGTTTATTCGCAAGACGCGCAACCCAAAAGTAAATAGACAGAAATTAAATCAAATTAACTCGTAGCAGAATTGATTAAGCAGATGATTTTAGGTAAAGACGCCAGTAGCTTACCGCCAGCAAAGTTACTCTTACTCCATGCGTGTGTGCGCTAGCAAAGTTACACTTACTGCGTGCGTGTGCGCGCGCGTTTGTGTAGTAGGGAAGGGAATAATTCTCACGTAGTTCGAGCATAACAATAATTACTTGATATCAGCGCGATGTAATAGTGAACGTTCAATAAATACACCTGGCTTCATAGAAACTGTTTGCTAATTGTGTTGAGCACAGTGACATGGTTTGATCAATTCGGTACTTCCTTAATCGGGAAGAAAATTAAATTCTGTAATTTATTGCGGTAATATCCAACAAATTTTGGATCAAAATCAGATAGACTCTTATTATATGACAGCACGTATAATTAAACCCTACTCCGAAACAATATCAAAATCGACTATGATACCCTCTCTAAGTTAACGGGGTTTCTGCAAATTTAATTTCTTTCAAACTGCGAATCCATCAACCCAACACTGTTTAAAATAACAAAGACTTTGGCATATGAAAGCACTTTTAGCACAATAACTGTAAACAGCAAACAAACAAACAAACAAAAAAGACAAGGTGCATGGATAAACTTTATATCAGCATCAACATTTTTCGATTCAGCAGTAGTTATAATAATATGTATTCAATTAAACTGAAACTTCACATTCAGCTTACATGTGAAAAGATGTTACCTATTTAGGTTCAAGGAAAGAAATCATAGTAAAAAGAGAAAAGTGTCCAACTTTCCAGCCAAGTGGTTACAAAACACTACTCCTAAATAGACATTTCTACTGCACAGTAGGACAATGGATGCTCAGAGCACATTTTCCTACTACCTTGCAGTTTCATGTTATCGACATGTATTGTTTGTCCAAATTCCTTAATGTCCAATTTTTTTACAACTTTTTTTTATTGAATTAACCAATCCAACCCTCCTCATGAGAAAGGGGGAGGGGACATCATTGTCATTATTATCATCACCATTGCAGTCAACAAAGTGTTCACATGAAATCTGCAGCCCTCATTCTCTGTCCTTTCAGCCTGAAAGAAAGAGAATTAGAAAGGAATCAAGTTTAATTCAATTGTATGCATCTTTTATAATCTTTAAAAGAGAATGCATTCTGATTGCAGTTAAGGATAGTGAAAAGCATCTTTATAAAAAAAAACTGTGAACAAAGTTTGGTTGTTCTAGCTCCGCACTTTCTCAAATCCTTGTACTTGACAGATGGAAAGGAACCAATTTCATCTCTGCTTTCACCACAGAGGCAAGAAATAAAAAAGAAAAAGAAATGAAAGAAAGCAAAGCAGCCAACCTCTCTAAAATCTCAGCATCAGTAGGTATCTGGTCTTTGCTTTCGTCTTCAGAACTGTCAGAGCCGCCATTGCTGTCTTCTGAGCTGGAAGGAGTTTCCGTCTTGGACTTTTTTTTCTTTTTGGAACTTTTGTGTTTGTGCTTGCTCTTCTTATACTTGGCCTGTATTACGCAAAATCTATCACAATGGATACTATTTATAATCTTCAATCATCTCAAATTTTTATTTTAAGTTCTCGATTTATAATTGGTTTGTACTTTGATCATATCTTATACTTTTTTCATTGCATAAAATAAGGTGAAATCTTTTCACTGTTTATCAAAATAAATTCAATAACAACAATAAAAAAAATGATTAATCTACAGAAGCTACAAAACAGAAAACATCCTCATCTTAACCTTCTTTTCCTTTTTCTTTTTCTTCTTTTTACTTCTGTCACTTTCTTTTGACCTGTGAGCATGTTTCAGTTTCCTGTGCACCCCTCTTTCAGATGCTGAAATAAACACGTGACTTGGGAAGCCTGGGGTTGCCGATGGACCTGCAGGAGAAAAATAATGTCTACTCAGACTGTGTTTAAAGATTGTTTTCAGGACATTGTAGTTAAAATTCCACAGACTCAAGAAGCAATGTGGCCCAATAATTGAAAAAAAAAAATTGTAGAATTTTGCTGGTCCCTCTTCAATTTTACTGTCATTTGGAAAGTCCTGACACCACAGAGTGTTGAGTTTGCAGTTTGGATGGGGTGGGGTGGTGCAAACCAAGAGGAGACAAACAGCATGGTCAAGAATCTTTTGAGCCTTAATTAATAAATGCTGTTGTAAAACTGGATCACTGCTTTTAAAAGAGACCATGGAAAACTGACACAGAATGTTGATGTTCTTAAAATAGTTCTCCTCCACATAATTCCATTTAACTAAATAAAATAGACTGTTTTGAAAATAATTATAAATCCTGGTGTCCATACAAAAATAAAGTCTTAAAAAGTTGTTTCCCCATTTTCCTTGTTCACTCACTTTCTCCTGGTGCTGATGGTGGAGGTAAAGCTGGTCCAAATGCTTCCATTTCCTCATCCTCATCCTTGGTACCATTTTTAGTCTGTATGGCTGGAGGGGGTGACAACCTTTGTTGTAAGCTCTCAACTGGTATGGTGGAGTTGCCATCTGCTTTTTCTTCTTTTCATGCAATTAAAGGAAAATGTAACTATGCTGGCGCATCCTTTATACAGAAGAAAATAAAGCATCCTGAAAATCTTAGCAATTTTCAATCACCAGCATGAAGGTATTCTTCCATCCCAAAACAATGAGGAAAATGTTTTCACAAGCAAAATTCACTAACCTCCATCTCCACGTCAGAATATTAAAAATGTAATAATTACACATATTTTTCCTTTTGAAAAAAAAAAAAAACTCTACCTGTGGTATGTTCCTGTTGGGTTGGCACCATGACTGGTTGGTCTATGAGGGACTGCTTGTTACTGCTTTTCTCCTCTTGTTTTTCTTCCTCCTCTTCTTCCTCTGATGATGACGAACTGCTAGAGTCTGAATCTTGGAAAATTGCCTTGAACAGGTCCATGGGAGGGCGACCTTCCACCGTGACTTCACTCTCCTTCACTGAGGACAACTAAAGATTGGGGAAAAAAGTTATACAGTCTAGTTGAAGGTATTAATCTCAAACTTAATATTTTTCATTTTAATATTTTAACTTGCATGAATTAGCGTCTTTCCAAGTAGAAAAGGGATGAGTGACCAATGAGTCAGAAATTTTTAAGTTTTGACCTTAATGAAAATGATGTCACAGTCAGTAACTCACAAGATCGTTTACATCTGATGTGGACTTTGTCTCCTTATTCACTGTACTCTCTGTTTTGCTCTTCTCGGCAGGGTTACGAAGCACACTACGTTTACTGACTGGTGCATCAAATATACTCTTTGGCATTCTTGGTTGTTCAGATTCATCTGGAATAGGTTTTTTTTATCTACGTAAGAGCTGAATACAATATAATGAGTTCAGAAACACATTTTTTGCATAGTCAACTTCAAGGGTTAAAGTGTATGCATTTCTTAATTTCAATAATGCTAAAACTGTCTGATTCATTCATTATTACATCAAGATTCAAAGTAGTATATAATTAATTAAATAAAAGGATACTATATTTGAAAATAAAACAACAAAAATCCTCATATTTTAACAATTCTCAAAATGACTTGATAATCTTTACCCTATCTGACCTACATAATTAAAAAACCACCAAGCAATATGTCTGACTTTTAGTTAGAAACACTGTTTGGTGTAAATGGAAAAAATGCCACAAATTCATGAGACATTCCTTATTATATATTTAGACATAAATCTAATAAAAAGAACCCCGTTTCCCCATGAATTATTAATTCCATTTTATCTCTACCTGCAGCAGTGAGGGCTTTAGGAGGACTGGGTGCTCTCTTCTCCACTGGAACACTTAAGAAGTTGTACAAAGAAAACTTGTCCTTTTTGACAGTTGGAACTCCAACAATAGTGGACCTGTAAATTGAAAAATTTAAAGTAAAAAAGGTATTTAATTATAAAAGTGTATAATCATTTTAATGAGGCAAATTAAATATTACTGCATTCTTTCTAAAAAGCATAGTTACTTTTAAATTAAAATCGTAAAGACACTTCACAAAGGCTAAGCTGAATGGATTTTCTTATATATTTCAAGTACTCAAAACATCTAATTCATTCATATTTGTTTAGCGCATCAACAAAGGGCTAAATAACCTCTATAATTAATGGGAAACAATCACACTCACCCAGGGTATGGATCAGGTACATTAAACCTCCGACACAGCAGTCTATCTGGGTGCCACTCAAACCTCTCCCTGGTCAGTTTTCCAAACATCTTCATCTGGGCAGCTTTGGCCTGGTCGCTGACCGGTGTCTGCAATACAAACTGACCTTAGAGTACTAAGAGAAAATGGCTGCATGAAACAGTCATCATGTAAAAGATATTCTATGGACGTACCAGGTATAGGTATATATATGAAATGGATAAGAGCTCTGACAGTTTGACAAATATTTTTTGTTTAAAAAAAAAGATGAATTGTGTCATATAGCTGACTTGTGGGTGCTTCTGCCTGGTCAATGACTGGAATCTACAAATAAAACTGAGTTAAATGTGTTAGGTGGGATTATGCTAGTTGTGACTTTACCAGCTTGATCGTACCTAGCAGAAAGGAATATCAGAGACTGAAATCACAACTGTAAAGGTATATAAAAAATATGGAATAAAATCTTCTTTAGTTAAATATTAAATATAAAAACACATTAATATTTAAGAAAATTGATTTGGGCTTTACAACTTAAAAATCATAAGATCTTCATGATATAATCACCTCTCCTGAATAACTGACTATCCTGAAAATCACATAAAAATGAGTGAGGAACTTTCTGATTTTTCAAATCTGCAAACATGCAGGATGTAAACAATGATCTCCTTTGTTGACAGAGGAAAAAGAAACTCACGCTGTCATCAGGGGGCACCTCAACCTCGTCATGGTGGTCTTCAAATTTGGCCCGCGTAAACCTGGAGGCCATGAGACTGCTTAGGGGTTTGAACAGCTGTGCTGCCCTCTTGAATTCCTCCTCCTCTCTCTCCATATCCCATTCCGTCATGTGAGGCAGAGCCACAGTTTTATAGCAGTCTGGAATTATAGTCAGGAAGAGATTTAACTGCTATTCAAGTGTAAGCCTTTATATGTATACATTTTGTTTTTGTGTATCATTTTTTAAATGTGTGGCAGTGTGTTTAAGATGAATGTGTGTTAGGTGTGACAAAAAAGGTTGAATTGCCCTTCAAGTGTAAGTATTTAATTGCATATGTTTTCTATTAAATTTTCTTGAGTGAGACAATATGTTCAGTATGTAAGGTGTGTCCATGTGTTTGGTGTGACAAAGTAAATCTGTGCAGGTAAAAATTGCCTCACCTACTGCACCTTGCTTCTTCAGCTCCAAATACTTCTCATATCTCTCCTGCTTTGCTGGGTCTTTCACAAAGGGTTTAAAAGAACTTGTGTTTCCCTGAAACAGTGGTGTCTTAAGCAGTGGCTGTTTAGCTTCAAATGGCCCCTGAACCTTTTCCCACGATGTTGCAGATGACCAGGCTGAAGATGTTGTTACTGATGATGTTGAGGAAGCTGATGAAGTTGTTGAACTTATCTTGGCAGCTTCCAGTTTAGCTTTCCCTTCTGAGTTGACCAGTTCAAACACTGATCCTGAAGGGAAAGACAGGTGTTCCATGATCAAACAGGTTTATCTTAACATGTTTAGTTTAAAAAAATTTGAGGATAATTTACTTTGGCTAATTCAAGTTTCTTACAAATCTTTGTAAATAATGAAAACCTTGTTTTTTTCTCTGGTAAAAAAAGAAGCATGCACACACAAACACACACACACAAAGAGAGATGAGTTGTACCACTACCAGAGATTTATTTTGTGGTATACCATTGCTCTTTCATCATAAAATTTCACATTCCCCTTTAAATCTGATTATACATACCTATCACAGGCGTTTCTCCTAAAATTGCTCCCCTGGCACCAGCATCTAAAGATTTTCCTGAGGAACTAGCAGATGACGATTCCTTGGGTTTCAGGAACGTATGGAAGGGTTTATAACCCCTGGGAATGTGGGGAGGTGGAAAGCATTTTTTTGGTTGAAGAGGTTTGGAGGCTATTGTGAAACCCTCCAATATTCTGGTCACATGACTGGGACCCTCTGTTATTGCAGCGGGCGGACCTGAGGTACATATTGTGTAATTAAAAAGTTAACTAAAATAAAATAAAATCTTTATAATTCAAATAAAAATAAAATAAAATAAAATATATATAAAATATAAATAAAATAAAATAAAATCTTTATAATTCAGCAAAAACCTTCAAAGCATAAACAACATGGATGTGTACAAGCGTTTGTACACATACACGTGAGAGAGAGAGAGAGAGAGAGAGAGAGAGAGAGAGAGAGAGAGAGAGAGAGAAAGTTCTGCATTTATCATAACTTCAGGTATGTCTGGGTTTTACACATTAAACATAATATGCTGATATCTAATCACACACAATTAACAAACTTGGCAAATAACTAAATAGAAGACAAAGGCTACCTTCCGAAAACCTAGATGTACGTTTTGGTGCAGTCCATCCAAAATTGTGGTCTGATTCAGCTGTTAGTTCTCTATCATAGTTTGCCATGGAATCCATACCATATATATCTTCATCATCGTCTTCTAAAGCACCCACTCCAAATGCCTGTAATAATTTCATGGCATTAAAATAAATAATTAGAATTAGAAATAAATGTCCAATTGGCATCACTCTGGGCAAAAGTTGCCAGCTTCCAATATAATACCCAGACNAATAAAAATTGAAAATGAAAGTACCATATCTGGCCCAAGTCTGGGCAGCATCTGGCAAAATGTGGCATAAATGCCAGACTTTGCCAGACTTGGCCCAGATCTGGCAAGTGTCTGGCAAAATGTGGCATAAATGCCAGACTTTGCCAGACTTGGCCCTGATCTGGCAAGTGTCTGGCAAAATCTGGCCCAGATATTGCCAGACGTTGCCAGATCTGGGCCAGACGTGGGCCAGATTACTGAGGCTGTCTGGGTAGTAAACTAAAGTCATGTCAGGTCACCAGTATAAATGAAATAGGATCATTAACGGGTCAATAATTATTTCCAACTCACCACTGATTCGTACATACTTTTTCAGTGATCAGAACTGACCTATAGTTATTGCCACTAATTTTTGGCAAAGGAAAGTACAATGCCTACATGGGGTAGAAATTTCATGAATTTGTAAAAATTACATTTTGAAAAAGTATCTGGGCCTGCAAAATACTGGAAGGGTCCATGATCTCTTGATTTCTGCAGATACTTGAACCCGCAGTTATTATCATGTCTGTAGCATGCCTGAATGTATCTACTCCATTACTAACCTTTCCTCGGATGCCCCTCTTGCTACCAGATACAGTGCTGCCACCTATGGGAGAGGGCTCAAACAAGTTGATATGGCCAGAGTGTAAAGCAGCTTTTGGATTGAGACCACTGTACCCCAGACCATGCTGGTTATCTTTGGCTTCAAAACTGATTGGGGTGACATCTTTTGGGGCAAAGGTCAACCCAGCTGCATATTCATCATAGTCAGAATCCTGGAATTATAAAGAAGTTAGTTTTCCCAGTTGATGAAATTGAACCTTTAAAGGTATTCAAATTGTTCCAGTTGCTGATAGACACTGACAGAAGATGTGTCTATCATTATACATTTCATCAAAAATCCAAACACATCATTTCATATTATCAAGAATTTTACATAAAAAGCTATTCTAATTGGACTGGCCAAAGCTAAAAATTGAAAAAATCCATAAAGTTGTAAATTTAATAAGCTTATACACTTACATCAGAATTCTGATCTGGAGGCAGAGAGCAGCCATATACTTTGCCTTCTTGTGCTAAGAATTACGAAAAACACAGAACAACAGTTTTTATTGCATATCTCTTGGTCAATTAAGAAAGAATTCAAACACTGAAAAGGCCTTGAAATCCAAATTAATTAACATTTCCTGAAAGCTGAAAGAGGACACATAAACCTGCACATTTTCCATCAAACAAATTTATAAAAAGACGCACTGAGAAAATTGTCATGACTCTTAATATTACTTCATCACAAATGACTCATGTACTTAAGTTTTGAAAAAATCCTAATGAAAAAAGTACTACTTTAACAAACACACCTGTGGCCTGTTTTTTGGCTTTTCTCTTCACCCTGGGGCCCACACCTTGCCCTTCCTTCCATCCCATCTTCCTCAGCAGGCGCACACCCATGGGTAACCTGGACAGGACAAGGAATTCACAATGATTAATTCTTTTTCTTTCTTAAATGTGAGGTATGAAAAGATTAATCTTTTTACAAGGTAAATAGCTTTTGCTGCCTTGGGAAATATTTCAGAATGGCCCTTCAGCCATCTGTTTCATATTATTATAATGCTATAATGTTATTATAGTCTTGATAGAATGATAATAAAACACAGTAATGTAAAGTAACATAACATTATACGTTTATTTTCATGAATTTTCAACATTGAAAAAAATTTTTCATTGTTACACATTGTCAGTGAAAGGGCTGAAATGTCAGACCTGAGGTAGAAAACAAATTTTTAATTCTAATTAAAATTAAGTAAATGATTTACATTGTGAATTTTTATTATGCTACTATTACAAGAGGAAACATTAATAACATGGAAAAAAATGCTCACTGTGATGGTATGATAAGGTCCTGTAATACTGGCTGGGTAAAGAAGACACCAGCATGTTCCAGTCTCTCAGCCGCATGCTTCTTCTGGGCTTGCTCCGAGGTGAAGTTGTCTGCAGTCTTCAGCTTGCGAGGCGCTATACCAAATTCCCCAAGGTCCTAAAGTAGTTCAGTTAAAAGACTGATTTTTTTCACAAATAAATCACATTACTGTCTTTTTGTGTTAACGTGGTTCATGCTTTTCTGCCAAATCAGATTGTATAAATTTTCAGCCTTTAAAAAAATTTTGAGACAAAGATAGTGAATTACTATCACACAAGTCATTTGATAACTAGTAAGACAAAAATCCTTCTGACCAGATTATCACATTTCAGTAAGTGTTAAACATGCATTCTTTTAACCAATTCAATGCTTACACAATAGTAATTTATTTCAGTATCATATATACATTATGATCCAATTTGAAAAAATATGGTGTATAATTAAATGCCCATACATACCTCTGCATCCATATAATCTTCAGGTTTTTGTCCCTGGGTCTCTGCTTTGTTAGTTCTTGATGAAACAAATGAAGACGGTGTCCATCCTACAAAATGATACAACAGTACTTAATCTTATCATTCATACTCTCAAAATATCATACTCACATATGGATATGGTACATGAGTAATGTATAATGTATACTAGTACTGTAAAATTTATAATTACTTATTAAATTTTAAAAAAGTTTTTCAGTAATATAAAAGTTTTGATAAGTTTGTTGGCTCCCTGTCTGTAAATATATCTGTGTTAATGACTTAAACTGCTTAATTTTTAAAAAGGACAAAATATGATACATGAATGTAAGATGTGTGAAAATTTTAAGTTATTAATGTATAGAACTAGATTAAAGGTCAGGGAGGGGACAAAGAAGAAAATAACCCCCTTCATCCAACAATGCATAAAACGGTAACCCTTATGAATTTCTCTGAATATAACATTTTCTTTAATAATATAATATCCTTAAAAGTCAAAACTTATATAATATATGCTCTTGCAGACAAAAAACGCAGCCCCAATCCATCTCGAACATTTTTCATTAAACATTGTGGTATATCTACAGTACATGGTTGTATTAAATGTAACTTTTGCCTTAATACATACATCCCACTGAACCTCACCTTCTTTACTGCCCACGGTATTGAAGTAACCAGCAGAGAAGCCTCCTGTGAAAGCTCCATGGAAACGGCGTCTTCCTTTCTCATCTCGCACTGTTTCATCTTGGACCTGAGGTGCCTTCTTTCTCGGAGCATCTGAAACACAAGAGACTTTTTCATCCAAATGTTTGACTTTTTGGAATAAACACACACACACACACACACACACACACACACACACACACACACACACAAACACACACATTTTGCATGTGCCCAACTTGATAACTGCAGGCAGTCAGTGTGATCAAACCTACCTCCACTTACCAAGCAACGTAATGTTAGAACAAGTCTCTTCCTCTCATAGAAGTGGTATTTTTTTTAAAAAAATTACATACCCATATACTAGTATATCGTTTTATTCAATTTCAATAAAATAAATAAGTTCGAATTTAATGCTTTGGCCTAAAATTCTTGAAGGTTGCTTTTGCACAAAGTTACAAGTTCTTTTCTTACCACTGTTGCTTTCCATGACGCAGTGATTACGATGGAAACGGTCTATAAAACCAAAGAACAAAATCCACCGCAACGGCCCCAGGTGTGCCCCCCCCCCCTCCCCC